AGATGAAGCTCTCTATTTTCAGTGGTCGCTTGCCAGGTCGTGGACGAGGGGCATTAGGCGAGAATCCACGGAGACCCACACAGCGGTATGGACATAATCGGTAGACGTGTCCGGCTTCCCCGCAGTGGAAACAAAGGGGCCTGTGGTCGGGTGTACGCCATATGTCACTCTTCCTCGGTCGTGCTTCGGCGATCAACGGTGGGCTGCGAGGACGGAAGCCTACCTCCATTTGCTGAGCGCGTCGCAGATTGGGGTAAAACATGCTGGGTGAACTGCACGACGGAGGACGTCGCACTGCTTCCGCGTAGCTCATTTCGACGCATTGTCTCTGTTGCGGCGCCTCGAACTGTGGGGGAGTGTGAACGGCTTGCTGTAGCTCGGCGCGTACTATCTCCGACACGGAGAGCTGCTCTACAGGTGAAGCAGTCACCTGCATCTTTTGTAACTCCTCCTTGATGAGAGCTCTGATGAGCTCTCGCAACGCACTGATGTGATTGCCGAGAGTGACAGAAGTGACCTCACTTGGATGTACACCCCGGTTATACTGCCTGGCACGCTTTTGAAGGGCCCTCTCCATGGCAATGGCTTCTTCACGGAAACTTCGCAAGTGTCGCAGGTGGGTTTCGAATCAGGTCCGCAAAAATCTCTTCTTTAACACCACGCATTAAGTGACGGACTTCCTTGGATTTGGTCATAGAGGGCTCCGCACGCCTGAAAAGCCGATCCATGTCCTCTATGTACTTCGTCACCCTTACGTTAGGGCGTTGAACCCTTGCCTCTATAGCACGCTCCGCTGTCTCTTTCCTGTCCTCTCGGGCAAAGGCCTTGAGAAACTGCCGGTGAAACTCATCCCATGACGTAAGCGTTGCTTCATGGTTCTCAAACCACGTTTTCACGGAGTCCTCGAGAAAGCAGTACACATAGCGTAGCTCACGCTCTGGGGTCCAATCGATGACGGCGACCCGGTCGAAATGCTCAAGCCAGTTGTCCGATCTTCAAAAACAGCTCCGTAAAACGTCTTCGGCGTCTTGGGCTGGTTGACAACCAGGTGCGCTGGTGCTGGCGCGGTGCCGTTAGGTGGTGTTTGGTTCATAGTCCACTGACATTCAGGCAGCAAACCGTGCTGTGGCTCGAGTCCCAGGAGATGACGGCTGGAACGTATGTGCACAGGGGTAAGCTCGGCTGAGCTACTTGATGGGCTCACTGGGGACCGTATCATCTACCGTACGCAGCACCTCCACCAGAAAATGTCAAAAAGGCACAGGGACGCAAGCACAAAAGCAGGGCGTTTACTTTCGTGACCGAAGGCCAAACACCAGAGCACGCGCCCACATAACTACTTCGTTATCCTCCTCGGGGAGGTAGGCTGGCCACTATAGTTGCCAGCCTACCTTGCGTCAATATGTTGTACGAGCCAAATATTTTCTGTGACCCACCAGTATGAACGGTTCGTTGTTGAATTTGTTTGCCGTCTCGTAAGGCGATGTCTACGTATGTCTTCATCAGAGGTTGCACGGCGGGCTTGTTGGTTAGCATGTCTTCATGTTTCCGGTTAGTACATTAGGTACTAGATACATGGTAAGTAGGTTAATTAAATTTTCGAATAGCTTTACACTGGCATGTTTGCCATTGTGGCTGTGACTGGTGAGCAGTAATTCAAGATCAGCAGTTTCAGTTTGCTTGACCTGATTGGCCCCACCACCGGCAAGATGCTCTGCTTTCTCGGTACATACAATGAGAACCTATAATTTAATGAGTGGTCGTTTCGTGTTCCCCGTCTCGAAGGCAGAGTACCGCGGTCAGTGTGGGGTCTTGTTCGACGTCGTCTAGGTCAGCATGTAGACACCAAACATTGAGCAAGGCAGGGGTAAACTCTGAAGAATCAACGTCTTCTCACACGGATGGTAGATACCGTTGCGTCAAGATGGGTAATCGGTGCTGTACGAGACGTTGAAAAGCCGTTGAGCATTGCATGGTCCTCGTTCTTATTCGCATCCAATGAGATTCGAGTCGTGGTGCGCCTGTAGAAGTGTTTGATTAAACCAGAGCAATGCACCTCCATACAATCAGATTCAAGCACAAATGTGCCATCTAACGATCTCATCTCACACTCAAGCACACATCGCACACATCACACTCAAGCACACAATTTTCGAAAATGCACGCACTTCAAACGTTTCACTAGACGAAGACATTTTAAATCGTGCTGTTGCATAGAAATGAAGGATGTTAATGTTATAAGTGAACAACTCCACACCAAACATTTCCTGTATTGATTGTCAGCTATGACATTGTTTCTTTTATGTGTATATGATAAAGTATACTAGCACCCAAGTACAATACCGAGCTCGTGTGATAACTTGAAAAAAATCGCCACAAGTGCAGACCTTACATGCAATATGTTACTTATTGGCGAATAAGTTGTGCAACATAAGTGAAGGTATCTCAAAGTCGTGCACTATGCTTGCTTCGACTGTCAGTCTTTTACAAATCCGATTCTGTCAAATTCTGGGATTCTGTAAAATTTCACAGGCAATCATTCTTATTAACAGCACATGATTTGAAATGTCTTCGTCCTAGTGAAACGCTTGAATATCCGCACCGTTCCAGGAAAGCGCAACCCCCCACCCCGAATTCACTCTAATCCAATCCATTCCTGCTTTGCACTGCAACTTGATTGCTCCACACGTGCTCCACGCCCTTTGTCGCTTTGTATTTAAGGTGAGAGGTCATCTATGTCTATGCAGTCCTGCACAGTGGTAAAGAAAATCGAGGTTATTGGATGGCATCAAGAAAACGAAGAGCAATATATACCTGAGGAAGCAAGAACACTAAAAGGAAACTTGAAGAAGCCGTCGTGGCAACATGTGCTCAAATTTGTTGCCGAGGCGTGAGCCGCTGTTCCTGAGGAGAGAGTGGCACGGTCCTTCAAGGGATGCGGCATTAGTGATGCCCTCGATTGCTCTGAGGACGCCGACTTACACAGTGGACAGACCTATATTGGAGATGTGACGCCAGAAGAGTGCAGCGCTCTTCAAGCGGAATGCTGCGACCTGTTTTTTGCAAGTGACTCGGAGGGGTCTTTTGGTGGTTTTGAAAGAGATCAAAAGCTACAGCGAATCCTGGGCCTAAATAAAGTTCACTGTAAAACAAATTTCAATGCATGCATACCAAATTTTTTGGTTTTTTTTGGCGTGAAAATTTTGCCGCCATTTTGATTTTCGGTGCCGTTCAGAAATAGCACCCTCCCCCTTTGGCAGCAATTTAGACTTCATTGGGGAAAGAGGGGGCGCTTGCTCGGAATTTTACGCTAGTTGTTTGCCCAGCCAAACAGACAAATGAACTACTCCTCATCCGACATTTTGATTTTCAGCAGCACAAATGCTTTGCCACCTCAAAAAGCCAAATGACATTGACCTCTTAAATGCCGCGCAATGCCAAACATGCCGATCCTTACACACCAGCGGTAGTGGCCACACGGCCGGACACACGGTGGAAAGAGTGAGAGTGAATAAAATGTATCGGTTCTAGGCTGTGCTCCTCCTTGATTGATATGTGGGGTTTAACGTCCCAAAACCACCATTTTGATTATGAGAGACGCCGTAGTGGAGGACTCTGAAAATTTCGACCACCTGGGGTTCTTTAACATGCACCCAAATCTGAGCACACGGGCCTACATTTCCACCTCAATCAGAAATGCAGCCGCCGCAGCCGGGATTCGATCCCACAGCCTGCGGGTCAGCAGCCGAGTACCTTAGCCACTAGACCACCGCGGCGGGGCTAGGCTGTGCTCCTCCTTTTACGTGAATACGGTCAATGCAAACTGAACATATAGGTGTAGCTTTTGGTGGGATGTGAGCAAGAAGGAAACGAACATTCATTTTCTTTTGTAAATAACCACTTTACGCGCACATATGGAAGCTAGTTTCAAACAGTTTTTTTTACATTTATTCCGACTTTATGCTGCTCTTTATTTATACAGTATGTAGAATAAGGAGCATTTGATGTCGTAGACACTTTCCCAACTTTCGTTGATTGATTGATTTGTGGGGTTTAACGTCCCAAAACCACTATTTGATTATGAGAGACGCCGTAGTGGAGGGCTCCGGAAATTTTGACCACCTGGGGTTCTTTAACGTGCACCCAAATGCGAGTACACGGGCCTACAACATTTCCGCCTCCATCGGAAATGCAGCCGCCACAGCCGGGATTTGATCCCGCGACCTGCGGGTCAGCAGCCCTTAGCCACTAGAGCACCGTGGCGGGGAAGTCGCAACTTTCGTCTGAGAGCATTTAAACCAATGGTCGACAACACTGCATGTGATCGGGGCCATCATGACAAAGAAAGTTCTTATTAAAGAAAATCATTTAAAAGTTTTCATTACAAAAGCTGATTGCCTAATAGTAACAAGCATGGCTTGTGCATGTAACAGGCTAATCAGCAGTCTTAGAAACAAAAACCTTGGATAATTGACCCTGATGTAATGGATCTTCTCGCAAAAGACGTGACAAGAAAATTTTAAACTGTGGCCGAGAAAAATAAAAAAAATATATTAATGAAAGTAAATGTGTCAGACGCTACAACAACTGCAACAACAGCCAGGCCTCCTCATTTTGCTCAGTGTACTTCTCAACATAAGTTTGGAGGAAAGGTGCATAAAAGCATCAACTACTTTTTCACTAACTGCTCTACAAATCTGTGGTGTGGTAGATGATCAATTTATTAGACTACCTTACTAAATCAAATGTAGTAGATGCACACTTCTTTTCAACATGTACAATTCTAGATACAATACGGACTCTACACCAGGACAGATTTTTGTCCTCTGTACACACGACAAAGGTTGCAAATGACGCAGATCGTATCACTGCCTAGATGACTGTCTGTGGGAAGGGCATGAATTTATGCAATCAATAAAGTACTACACTTCTATACTTAAGAGCCACTCATGCACATAAGCTGAAGATGAGTAAAAATACTGGTGTTTTATGACACTTACACCAGATGGCAGGCAGCTGAGACTATCCTTTGGTGCTTCCAGTGCAGCCAGCTGGGAGTTGCTGTACCGGTCACTGTTGTCAGGGGATGTGTATGTGATAGCCATACGGGGCACACTCTGTTGTTCAGAATCAACATAAGTATCTTCAGTGAGAAACAGATGAACCTTGAAGAGCTTCATATACACGAGCTCCATCATGCTACTTGCGTCCACAAAATAACTGAAAAACTGACTCATGTTAGTCAGATTACGCCCGTGGGCAACCATCGCATCCACCTGCAAAACAAAGGTCCCACAGTTTAAACTTCAAGACTGATGAAGCGTATAAGCATGCGTTGCAGAATTCAAAACGCGATATTGATATAAAAATTTCGGCACATTAACGAAAAAGTATGAACGCTGATGTCGGGAGTCATGGGTGTCGACATGCTTCTCTGAAATGTCAGTTCACTTAAAATGAGTTACACGTTAACACCAGGCAAATTCGAACTGACATTACGCGCTCTATAAACACATATCGCGGACAGGCATTGCATACATTTAAAAATAAAAGACACTTACATTTACCAGCATGTCGTCGAGCAAGGTTACTATCAGGTCTTTTTCCTCATAAAGCTTGCAGAGGCGCCTCTGTAGCTCGTCGAAGCCGAGGGAATACGGTCGCGGCCCCGCCATTCTCGGCAAAAATCTCTGAAAGGGAACGGTTCAAGAGCGACAGCACTTAAATTGATATTACGGCAACATAGTGAATGACTTGGTTACCTTTGCGCCGTTAGTATAGGTACCTATTTAGTCGCGGCCTCTTCGAACTCGAACATAACCACAAAATAAATCCGTACAGAGTTTTGTCAACGTCTTCCTAACACAAAGCTGCACAACCAGTTGGAAACAAGCAGCATCACTACTCAGCCGATCACAACGTGCCGGTAACATGCGCTCTAATCTAGACTACTCAGGAAACGCGTAATAGCGACCAAGGTCAAGTAATAAAAATCAAATTTCACGCCGACAATGAGTGCAATGAGAAAGTTTACAGAACGCGGCAACACACACAGCGATAGCCACATAAAACGCGGGCTCCATGGCCGTTGCCAAACTGATCACGTGGCTTCCAATATCCAATATCGAAAGTGAAACTACTACGTTTGAGCTAAAAACATTTGTATTGAAACAAAATGAAAACAAATGCCATAATCAGATGCGAAATTTGTAGAAGTTTGTGGGAATTTTGTGGTTAATAAAGCTTGCAGGAATTTTATCACAGGTCCAGTCGTCACCATCAAGCCCTACTTCACTTGAGTCCTTACCTGTCCAGATCTATAGCGTAGTTCCCATCATAGTTCCCTAAAAAATTAACTGTGGTTCCCATGATGGTTCCTTTTTTAACCGCGTGTCCCCGCTCTCGTTTAATCGCACGGCGGCCATGTGCACGGCGCTGGAGTAAGAACGCCTGGATTCTGTCACATAATACCAGCACCCCATGAATATGGGATGTGAATTGCCACCTGGAAATTGAGTTTCTAGCCTGGATTTTAGCTGAAAACTGCTATTCAGGCGGGAAACTTCCCACTGTGGATTATTTCCATTTCCAGCTTGAAGTTTTCCAGTCCCAGTTTGGAAGTTATAATTTCCTACTGAAAATTGTTTCAGTTGCATTTACTTCTGCGTTGCAGTTTAATTAGATGCAGCAGCTGAAAGCGCACTGACAACAGGTACGAACCCAAAAGGCTGAAATCTGGAAATGCAGTTCCTAAACGTGCCAGAGAACGTTCGACAGAACGCGCGGTTAGTTAACAATTTCGAAGAAGCATGATGCGTTAGTGCATTTGCCGAAAGGTGCAGCTATATAATCGAAGGGGTGCTCTCAAAGCTGCTTGCATGAGTGCATAACTAATTGCTGGCGTTTTGTCGTTCGCCACGTATTAGACAGAGATATCAGTGTGATTGGAACATGGCAATTGAAGATAGGAGCAAACGGGCTTGTACACACCTGGAGACGATTTCTGCGTTCGTCGCAACGTGGATCTCGAGAATGTTGCATGTGATTCATGGTGATAATCAATGGACGGAGGGGAACGAGGACGAGCACGCCTGTCGACAAGGCTCCGACTACCCGGCGTGTGGTTCGTTTAGGCCTAGGGCCTTTGTTAGATTGGTTCGTTTAGTCCTAGTAGTCGCAATCCGTCAGCAGCACCTTTCCTTCCTTCGTGGTCAGCAGCAATTGGATGACTAGCATGACGTATCACTTTGGAAGACGACGATCATGACAATGATGACGATGCGCTCCTGGAATGATCGGCTAATAATTAACCACTCAGTACAATCTCAGCCGAGAGTTGGGTGGTTCATATGTTCTTACTTTTTTTGTTTCAGTGTCATGAATAATGCGTTAATTATTCTTAATGAGTCACAATTTTAGTGTCAGTGGTTACGCATATGGCATGGGCGAATTAGTGATGATGATACGTGCACAAGATCCCCGTGTAATATGCGCATTTGCGTTAATGAAGAGCGAACGTCCTTTTGAAGAAAGCTTGTATATTCCGCTTACACAGATCTCATTTATCTTATACAGCAAACAAATCCTAATATAATTTTACTTCAAGAGTCTTGGCTTACAGTAAACCAAGCATTCACTCTGAATAATTTTTGAACTTTTAGACTAGATCGGCCAGGTAGAGAAGGTGGATTATTGGCCCTAATATCTTCAAAAATGTATCATCATGTCACTGTAACTTTTGAACATATTTGTCCGGATTGTGAACTGTTAGGAATAGATTGTTTGTTACTCGCGACTCCTACAGGATTACAGTGATTAAGGCGCACTTTCCAAATGGAGTAAGACGCACAGATCACCTAGATTGTGTCATCAAGAATTCTTCTTCAAGTTCTATTTTATTGGCAAGGGATTTGAACTCGCATCACACTTCTTGGGGGTTTAAAACATGACTGTGGCAAAAGATTGTGGAATTGGCTGCAGGAGAATAATTTTTGTTGTCATAACTCTGGACAGGTTACCTTTTTACGTGGAATATATAAACTCATCAACATTTAGACCTGACTTTTTCGTGTGGTCAGTTTATAATTTCATCGTGGAAGACGTTTGATAATGGGACGAGTAGTGATCATGTACCAATTACATATAAAATATTGCTATCACTCCTTAATACTGATTGATATGTAAGGCTTAACGTCCCAAAACCAACCTATAATTATGAGAAATGCCATAGTGGAGGGCTTAGAAAATTTCGGCCACCTGTGGTTCTTTAACTTGCACTCAGCTGAGCACACAGACCTACAGCATTTCCGCCGCTTCGTTCACCCAATAGCGGCTGAAAACCGACTTGACTTGGCCTGAAGTGTTTGAGCAGATCACGGCAGAATCTTAGGCGGTTAGGTAGCGTGGAGTTTCTCACCAGCTAGCTTGTTAGCAACTATGCTGTGGTGGGTTTATGTTTTGGCAGCGTCTTCTGCACAGCGCGGCGCAGCAGCCATCCCCACACAAAAATGACTTCTGCACCGCACAAAAGTGACGTCGCTTTTAAAAAAAGTTATTGTAAAGCTATTGAAATGTGCAAGTTATTATTTTATAAGGCAATACACTTACAAAAGTGTCATTAAGCAAGTGTGTAACAAGTTTTTTAATGCGCATAAATAAATTAATAACGCATTGTATAAAAATGTTGGTTTCGTATAGTGTTTTTGTAATATTAGTACATATTGCTCTGTTTAACAACCGAATAAATTATTTGTTGGTTCATAAGTATTATTAAAAGGAAAATAAGTTGATTTATTGTTCTGTGCTCGAGGGTGCAGCGGGTTTGCCCCTAGTTTCGGTTATTAGCGTATTTTGATCCTACGACTACCCAAATACAGTACATGTGTACAGTATTGTACACATACAGGTACACCTACAGGTGCACATACGTACAGTATCGTACACAATATTGTACAGTACATGTGTACGTTCTACATCGCAATGTGCCATGTCAACAGCATTCGCCGAACACCGTGTGATAAATCTGCATCGCAACGTCAACAGAGTGTTTCTTTGATAGACCGAGAGGAAATCGGTAGTCTGGTGTCAAATTAATGTGCATCCTTGCCTGTCGACAGAGTGTTTCTTTGGTAGACCGAGAGGAAATCAGTGATCTGGTGTCAAATTAATGGGCATCCTTGCCTTTCGTTCGCAAAATCTATGCGTCCAGTGACGCTGTTCTGGTACCACGTCTACTGCGGCGCGTTTTTCTGTCATCAGAGCCTCAATAACTAGCGCGAACAGCATTGCTTACCCAGTGGCGGAGGAAACGATGCAGTCAGCTGCATCGTTTTCGCTTACGGGCCTGGAGTTTTGTGTGTCCTTGTACGTCTCGGCAAGAAAGTGCATCGATTGTTGAACAAGCGTATAAATGTCCAATTCTGCGAGGATAATCAAACATTCGAAATAAAAGGAGGCGGCATTCAGGAAGATCAGTCCAATAAGTGCTTAGAAGAAACCTGTTAACTTGTGTCGCAGACAGCACATTATTGTTATTGATTTCAGCAGTGCTCTGATGGACGAGGATCTTTCAGTGCGCTGCTGAAATCAAGAATGCGTTCCAACTTGCGTATGCAATTTTCAGTTTTCATGCAGCACATTATTGATCGCCTTATATGAAAAAGTTAACAAAAAATAATTTATGTTCGTGCTATGCATGCCACGTTAAGCTTCTGTGCTAACTATACCCTTGCACTGCATATTAAAATTTTTGTTTACATGCTTACACTCTGAGGAAGAGATGGTCCGCTTATTTCTTTTAAACAAATCTGGAATGTTGGCCATGTTGTCACTTGTGCCTCTAGACCAGGTAGTCGTGTCTGGACCACCAAGCAAACCAGCTTGACCTCCCTCATGCCCAGGGTCACACATCTTAATTCATGCAGCTACGATGTGCTGCTGCACTTCCACTAAGTATGAGCTGAATATGTTCGCAAGTAGACTGCAATATAAAGCACGTTCAGGTGCTCTTCCGTTTTCTTTTCTTTTTTAGCGCATTATAGCGCAGCGATTGGTTCGCAGGTAGGACTTGCAAACCTTGTACGGCTATGGACAGGGCTGACTATTGTAGCTTCGTATGCATGTAGAAACCTTTTCCAAGTAGAAAGGGTATTATCATCAACATAAGAGAAAGGTATACAAGCTGTTTTCATCCAACTTTTCTTCACAAATGAGATAAAATTGACTAACCCATTACTACTTGAATTACTAGCCATACTGTACAGGTTGCCATCAATTTAATCGATGCAACACCAAACATTGATACCACACTAATTTATTAATTTCACCTGTGACGGCAATGTTAATACAATCAGCATTAGGCTGGCAATCCTGGCACTGCACGAGAGCCTCTTTCAATGTTGCCTATAGCAGCTAGATTACAAAAGCACTACAATTTTGTCGAAAAACTCACACGATCTACGAAGTCTTCACGTCTCGCTATTGAGGTGACCAGGGCATGGTTGGAAGTGCTGCGATCATATGTCTGACTAAGGAGCTGAAGTGCTTGCTTCATGTGTGATGCCTGTATTGCGTTGATTTGCTTGCATCGGATCCATGCATTCATTGTGCACGATGACCTAAACTGATACGACACATGCACCTTAATCTCTCATAACATAGACAGATTAAGATATGCCCTTCTTGGCTACTTAGTTCATAACTGAAGCTCAACAGTGGCAGGACAAAAACATGTGGGTCTAAAGGACCGGGCAAAATCCTCCTGACCTTATATGATGGGCTACTGACAAATTTTGTCGCCTCCTCACCTACGCCAAATTTAGTGTTAGTTATAAACGTTCGGCGATTTTAAACTTCCAAATATCAGTTTTGTCACTTTATCTATCTCGGCTAGTGATAAGGTAGCACATGCCTTACTATAAAAGCTTGTTCAGACTTTCGCCTAACTCAGTTTATTACGAAGCCTATACAAATTGTAGGTTCTGATTTTGATGAGATAAACCTTGAAACTTCTTTTTCTGAGAGCCTTTTAGCTGTATGTTCTCCCCATTTTATTGAACAAAATTAGACGCCGCTCA